TCAAGCCCACCAGAGATTCCAAGATAGAAAGACGTGGTAGTCTGCTTCGTAAAGATTACCAAAACCAAACTAAACCCATGTTATAGAGTGCATTCTAACTTATAGTGACCCTATAGGACAGGAAAGAACTGTTCCCTAGGGGTTCCAAGACTGTCATGGGAGCAGACAGTCTCATTTTCCCCAGCAGAGCAGCTGGTGGGTTTAAACAGTTCGCAGCCCAACTCAGAACCCTCTATGACACCAAGGCTCCTTCCGTAAAGATTCCAAATCCCAAAACCCAAGACCACTGCCATCGAGTTGTTTCTGATGGGTGCAGAAACCTCATCTTTCTCCTAAAGAGTGGCTGGTGAGTTTGAACCACCAGCCTTGTGGTTAGCAGTCCAATACTACCCTACAGCGCCACCAGGTTACAGCCTTGGAAACTTTGTGGGCAGTTCTACTCTATCCTAGGGGTAGCTATGAGTCAGAATTGACTCAATAGCAATGTGGTGGTGTTTTTTTTTTTTTTTTGGTCTGTCATGAAGATTCTTCCTAATTGCTCCAATTGTGGTCATCGAGATTACCTCCAAATCCTTACCACTACCAGCAACACCTTAATGAACATCCCCATACATCTTCATACATATGGGGCTGTGTGAGAATTTCTTTGGGATATATACCAGGACATGTGTGCATATACAAGGGGACTCAAAAATTCTATTATATTTTAATTCCATTTTCCATGAATGTTTTGAATCACCCCATACTTAATCTGACCAAGCAATGCCATATTGCCTCCAATTATTTGTTATATGATGTATCTTAGAGTTCCATATTTCTCTCCACATTTGCCTATATTTGTTGTTTTATTTTTTGCTAAGGAGCTCTGATAGCGTAGTGATTACGGTCAGCAGTTCAAAACTACCAGCTATTCTGTGGGAGAAAGATGAGGCTTTGAGATTTACAGTAAAGATTTACACCTGGGAAACCCTGGACAGGATTGCTATGAGTTGGAACTGACTCCACGGCACATAACCACCACCACCACCAATCTAAAATTAGATTAGGTATAATGTGATATCTCATTGTTTCTCTTTACATCTTCCTGCTTATAATCTATTGGAGCATATCATTGTATTTATTAACCTTTGTGGTTACTTTTATGTAAATTGCCTATTCATAAGCTTTTCCTGTTTTTATTGAGTTTCTGTTATTTTCTTGCTGATTTGCAAGAGTTCCTTGTATATCCTCCTTCGGGTTTTAGACATAAAAAAATGTCCTCTTCCAATTTTCCAGCTGCTTATTAACTTTGTCCATTGTGTCCACCTATTGTCAGCTAGTTAATTCTGACTATAGCAACTCTAGAGGACAGAGTAAAACTGCTAGAAATCCTTAATTTTATGTAATCAAGTTTTTCAGTATTTTGTCTTATGGTTAGGATTTTTGATGTTTTAAGAAGTCTTCCCCACTCCTGAGTGACAAAGATAGTCTCCTGCATTTTCTTCTACTGCTGTCATGGTTTCAACTCTGGTTTTTAATCCACTTGGAGTTCACATCCATATGTTCATTTAAGTTAGAGTCCAGTCTTATTTTTAACATATAATAAACATTTTCTACTAAAATCCATTCTTTCCTCCTTGATCTGGGTGCCATCTTTATTTTATACTCTATATGAATCTGCTCTAATCTCCATTTTTTTCAATGAGCATTTATCTCATTTATCTGGTCTTTTACCAATATTGCTATTCTTATTGCTATCACATTGAACTATATCTTTGTATTTGGCAGAGCCAGTCACCCTCCTTATTAGTCCTTTATAAGTTTAACTTAGATATTTATGGACTTTATTCTTACTTTATTCTATAGTTATACTAACCCATGCAATAATCACAATGATCCTATGATGCAGTACTTTAATTACCATGTTTTTCCAGAAACTTGTCCCAAAACACACAGCAGAGTCAGAATTCAGAGTTCAAATTCTTAATCACTGCACTGTCTCTACCTAAAGGCAGTTACCTAAAGTAAAGCTACTACTTGAATTTGAGTTTTATTTTTACTATATTTTCCAGTTAATTCTTGCAAATATAGAAAATTGTGATTGTTTTTTTTTTGTAAGCTGGTTTTGTATCTGAAGAAGTTGCTGAATTCTCTCATTACTTCTAGTTGGTCTGTTGATTCTGTTGCTTTTTCATTTCCAATTTTTAAATATCCCTTTTCTTTGCTTATTCCATTAGTCAAAATTTCCAGTACTACACTAGATGGTCTGTAGCAACGATCATGGCCCAAACAGAATTGTTTCTTACAGAAAGTTACAAAATTCCATGAAAAGTGATGCTATTTCAGGAGAAGCAAACTTCATCATTGATACAGAATATGCAGCACATCGGAGAATTCTTTCACACAAGTGTAGGTTAGAAGCAATATCTGGTGGCCACACATCTATTCTGAGCGGAGGAGACCCTGTGCTTATCTATGCAGCAGAAATTTATTTTCCATGGGAGACTATTTTGTCAGGGGAGAAATGGCTCAGTTGTGATTTCATTCTGACTTTAAGTACATTTAACTCTACCCCAAGTCCCTGTGGCAACAACACAGTTTTCTGTACCTGTCATTTGCTTTATACAATCTATTAGACATGATTGTTTCTGACAACATTCTTGTCTCTATCCCCATGGGGGAATTCACACACAGCAGCACTAAAAAGTGTTTTAAAAGATGAACCATCTCTCATTTTACACACACCTGAAGAGTACTGGTATGGCACTATAGGATAAGCACTGAACTGCTAACCCCAAGGTCAGCAGTTCAAATCCACTCCAGTCGCTCCTCGAAAACCCTATACAATGTCACTATAAGTCAGAACAAACTTGACGGCACTTAATAACAACAAATGTCCTATGGAATTCTGGTGTGGCACTGTAGGATAAACACCGGACTGCTAAGCACAAGGTCTTCAGTTCCAACCTACCAGCTGCTCCTTGGAACCCCTATACAGGGTCACTATCAGTTGGGATCGACTTGACAGCACTTAACAACAAAGGTCCTATGGTGGATGGCATGTCACCTTCCAGCTGATGATCCCTCTAGAGGTGCCAACCAGGGAGGAGGGCCTGAATCAGACTAGGGGTGAACAGGACTTTTGCCTGATTATACTCATCACTCCATCTTCTTAGTGTCTAAGGTTTACAGTATCCTTATCCATCTGGACTTTGATGGAAACTCAAAAGAGACGAGGAAGCACCCACTCTTTTCTCCTATATCCCAAAGCTGAGCCCAGGCACTTTCAGTGGTGGGGTCCTGGGTCCAAGTGCAGTCACATCCACCAGAAGCTCCTAGTCAGTGACCAAGCACACTGTATCCCCCCCCCCCCCAAACACACACACAAACACAGGGTGACTAACACTTGTGGTAGAAATGAGTGAACTGAAAAAGCCCCCCACAGGAACCTCAAAACCATCACATCCAAAGCAGAACTTCTCACCAGGCCCTCAAACTCACTCCCCTCTTCCAGCAACCCCCTGCAGGAACAGGAGTGATCTCCATTCAGATAGTCTCAGTTTTCCTCTCTCACACACCTGAGGAGTTTCCATGTCTTGTCCCCTCCCCATCCTGACTATTCATCCTGAATGGAGCCTTGGCTGTACCTTCCCCCTGGGTCACTCTTGATCACTTTCCTTGCATCCATCTTCCACACTACTAATTAGGGATTATCCCACCATGCAAATCTAACCTTGTCTCTCTGCCTAAAATCCTACAGAGCTCCCCCTCCTCAGAAGGGCAGCGTGTGCACACACACTCCTTAGAGTGGTTTTTCATAGGATGCCCCTTCTGCTCTCCAACCTGACACCCACCAGGGCACACATTCCAATTGCCCTCAGTCCTCACTGACAGTACTTCTGGTCCTTGCTCTCCCCTACCAGCACCTACAGCCCATCCCTCCCCACTAACACCACCAAGGTCACAGGCCCTTTGTCCCGGAAAACCTTACTGCCCCTTTCTCCCATTGCCCACTGAGGTGCCTTCTCTCTGGCCCCTCCTCCCTCAACCCTGTGACTCTGGGACACTAAATTGTGACTGCTCCCTTCTAGACACCTTGAGGAACTGGACACTACGCAAAGACTGGTCACAGCACTGCATGGCCAGTCTGCTTTCATTCCTTTTCATGTTCAGACTCATGAACAAAACACAGCTGAGTCAGGATCTGGTTTGCTGCACCCAACGGGTCTGGTGTTGTCCATGGCTGGCGTCTCACACCTGATACAAAGTCTGCCTTGCACATAATGAGCCATCTAAATGAATGAATGATGAACAGATAGATAATGAGCAAATTATTTGCTCCTTGTGTGGCGCTGTAACATAAGCACTGGATCTCAAGGTCGGCAGTTCAAACTCACCAGCTGCTCTTGGGAAACCCTATACCGGGTCGCTATGAATCGAATCCAACTTAAAGACATTTAACAACAACAATAATCCAGAAGTAGGATTCCTGGTGTGGCTCTGTAAAATAAGCGCTGGATTGCTAACCCAAGGTCAGCAGTTCAAACCCACCAACTGCTCCTCAGAAACCCTATACTGGGTCGCTATGAGTCGGCACCATTTGATGGCACTTAACACAACAGTCCAGAACTAAATTGAAGGTATAGAAGTGGAAAGTGTAGGCTTGCGCGTGCTCCCTCCGGAGGGGGCTCTGCTCAGCTTTGGCGGCGCTGCTGGGACAAGGGGGCGTCCCTCAGCCCAGAGCTGGGATGTGGGGGACTACAAGGGACTGGGGGCGGGACAGCCTGAGACCCCGCGACGCGACTCTGTCCACATTTCGCTTTCACTTTGGACGGGTCTGGAGGCGGCGGGGCCGTCCCGGAACGACTGCGGCGGAGCACCGGGTAGTTAATCCGAAAGCGCTGCAAGCCCCGAGGGTCGGACTCCACTTGTCATCGAGAAGCTGATGTAGATAGAGAGAGAGAAAGCAAGACACCAGAGTCCCGGGAAAGTCCTGTCGCGGACTTGGGGCAATTATAAAAATGTGACCCCCTGGGTCTTTCTCCCAGCCACCGCCCTCACCTGCCACATCCACCGGTCCGCAGACCGCTCAGTATGTGCCGGCAGCGCAGTGAGTAACCAGACTCGCCCGCTCTGGGGAAAGCCAGCAGCCTGGGAAGAGGAGGCAGAAATGGGGACAGGCTGAAGGGGAGTCTCGAGACAATCAGCAATCTCGTGCAAAGGGGATTAAAAAGATAGGGTATTATGTGCAGCTCTGGTAGCGTAGTGGTTACAAATCGGACTACGAACCACAAGGTCAGCAGTTCGAAACTACCAGCCGTTCCGCGGGAGAAAGATGAGGCTTTCTGCTCCCGTAAAGATTTACAGCCTTGGAAAACCTGTACAGGATCACTACGAGTCGGAACCGACTCCACAGCACATAACAACAACAAGAAGTGCAGTTAGAGTCAGGAGCTGGTAGGGTTGAACCACCGACCTTGTGGTTGGTAATCCAGTGCTTATTTTACAGCCCACATCAGGATTCCTATGTGCTAAATAGAATTCTGTTAACCTTAAAATAGCCCCATGAGCTAAGTATTATTAACCCCACTTCTCATATGGGGGACAAAGACCCAGTGTAGTAGGTTGCTCAGGGTTCCTTGACTACAGCTGTAAGAGGGTGGATCCTAGAGGCTGCAAAGCAGTTTTGTGACTTAACTGTTTAAGGTGCTAAATCTAGGCAAGTCACTTTACCACCTGGCCTCAGTTTCCCTGTGTGTGAAATGGGGGATTTTTCTGGGTGAACTCTGAGCCCAACTCCCTTTTCTCAGCTAAAGGGAAGCTCACAGGGAATTTACCAGTTGTTGTGGAGTGGATTCTAGCCCATGGTGAGAATCCTATGTGTGAAGAGTTTTCAGCGGCCATAGCGTTTTCAGTGGCTGTTTTTTTTTTTTTTTTGGCAGTAAATTTCCCGGGTTTTTTTTTTTTTTTTTTTTTTTTTGAGGTAACTCTGGGTGGACTTGAACCCTTAACCTTCCCATTAGCAATTCAAGCGCATTAACTATTTGCACAACACAGGAACTCCCCACAATAAGCTAGCTAGCATCTGTTCCTGCATCAGAACAGCTGCTTTAAAGAATTCTGTCTCTCATGTGCTGGAGGACAGTTTTGAGACAGATGTCAGGTTGGTGCAAAAAGGTGGCCACAATGGGTGGAGGGAAGCCAAAATGTGGAGACAAGCTCAACCTGCCAATTGCTTCCCTTTCAGGCCTCTTCTTTATGGTCACCCTCAACCTCCTGGCCCATCTCAGTTTGGCCAGGAACATCCCAGAGACCTCACCAAGTCCTGGAATATTCGAGTGCCTCAACCACTCCAAAAACTTGCTCCAGGCAGTCAGCAACACACTTCAGAAGGTGAGCTTTTCAAAGTCGGTGGCGTCTCTGAACCTCTGGCCACCTGAAGGAACTGAAGGGGAGTTATGGAAGTTAATCAGTAGCTGTCAACAAGGAGAGAGGGAGCTTTATAAATGGTCAAGCTATTAACTAAAGAGTCCCAATGAAACTGTGTTTCCAGTGAGCAAGATTGGTAATAAATTATCATGGCATTCATTTTGCCTATGTTGACGCAGAGGAAAGTGGGTATTTACAGTGTTCCTTGTAGCTGCCAACAGAGATGGAATTGTGTCACGTCCACACTGTTTCTGATGCCACTATCAATCTAGTATAGGGTGCATACTCTGTGCTCCTGGAGCTATGGAGATGAATTAGACCTGTGCCTAGCACGGCTGTTCAGCTTTACGTCTGATGACGCAGTACACCGTAGTCCAGAGTAATCACGTCTTAGGGAAGCTAAGGATGGTGCATACCCAGCCTTCACTTTTCTAAGGGAACAGTTACCTAATTATGTAGACCTTCATTCATTTTCTTAGGTCTCTTATTTTTAAAACAAATAAAATCACTTTTTTATTTTTAAAGGTGGCCAAATACTATTGATTTTGCTGCAAAGGCTAAAGACTAATGTTTTAAAAGATATTCTTTTTCCTTCCTGCTCACTAATAAATCTTTCTGGAGTATTTTCTAGCTTGTTGCTTTTTGAATACTTTAAAATAAGCTCAATGCTCTTCTTAAAGAACTCTTTTTTCTTCTTCTTCTAATCTTTTATAATGTGCTGCCCAATGCTCCTGGCAGTTCAATCAATCTTAATCAAAATGGCAGTTCACCAAATGAAACCGGCAGATAAGTACTTTGATTCCTAAAAAAAGGTTCAATAAGGATAAAATTTAGGAGCTTCAATTTAAATAGATGTGTTATGTGAAAAAGCTGACTCTTCTACTCCCAGATACCATACTAAAGGTCAAAAGACCACAGACCTCAATTTTGTATTTTTTATATTATTCTTTTGCCAGAGCAAATCAATTAGCTACTGTGAGGAACAGAGGTGGCAAAAATGGAATTTACAAGCCTCAGCCAGCCCACAGATTTATAAGGTTGTATATATATACATAAAGAGCTCTGGTAGCATAGTGGTTATGAATCGGACTGCGAGCCACAAGGTCAGCAGTTCGAAACTACCAGTTGTTCCACAGGAGAAAGATGAGGCTTCCTGCTCCTGTAAAGATATCCAGCCTTGGAAACCCTATACAGGGTCTCTATGAGTTGGAACCGACTCCACAGCACACCACCACCACCATATAGATGCATGGAGTCCTGGTGTGGCGCTGTGGGTTAACGTGCTGGACTGCAAAGTTGGTTTGAACCACAATGTTAGCACTTCAAGCTCACCAGCTGCTCCTAGGAAACCCTATATAGGGTCGCTATGGGTCAGAACCAACTCAACAGCACTTAAAAACAACATATATATACATAAACACTTATATGTGCATATTTCTTTTTAAATTTGGCTTTCAAATTTGATTTCTTTTTTAAATTGGGGCTTTCATATAAAAATTCAGCTTCTCTTGAAATGATCTGAAGAAATGTAGCATTAGGCCTGCGTTCCCAAATCTAACTTCCTACAACCTTCCCAGAATAGTGACTTCCCAGTTCTGTTTAAACACCTCCAAAGGGCACTGCTGCTGTAGCCAATTATCACAAACGTGCTGGCTTTAAACAACACAAATTTCTTATTGTATCTTCAGGGTCAAAAGTCTGAAATATGCCTCACCAGGCTAAAATAAAGATGCTAGAGGACTGGGTTCCTTCTGGAAGCTCTAGAAGAGAATCCATTTTTCTGCCTTTTCCACCTTCTAGAGGCAGTCCATATGCCTTGTCTTGTGACCCCTTCAAAAGCCAGCAAATGACTCATCAAGTCTTTCTCACATAACATCACTCTTCTGTCTCCATCTTCTATTTATAAAGACCCTTTGATTACAGTAAACCAGCCTGGATAATTCAGGATTACTCACTACCTTAGTTCCTTCTGTAACCTTAATTCCCCTATGTCATGTATAATAATGTGTTCATAGGATCCAGGGTCTACAAAATGGACATCTTTGCTGGAGGATCATCCTTCTGCCCACCGCAGACATTTTCTACACATTCAGGCCTTGAGTCATGGCTTGTATATTTCCCTCTTTCTAAACCCCACTCCCTCTTTACTTGTCAGCATTCTAATCATCTTAATGCAAATACCCCATCTCTACTGAAGTCTGTACTTCCTTTCCACTCCCTCCTTGGAGCCTTCATTCCTTTCTTCGCACTCCCCATCTACTGGTGTGTCTTCTAGACATTTGGACACATGCATTCTCCACAGCTAAATTAGGAATTCCAGGAGGGCAAACTAGTGTCCTCTTTTTTGCTGTCCTCCCTCATACCTATCATAATAGGTTTAGCACATCAGACTTGTTGAATGGGAAAATGATCCGTCTTCAGTCAGACAGTCATTAAACTCTTAAAACAAATGTTATAATTATATTTAACCTTGCCTTCCCACATGCTTGTAAAATAGCATCTCTTTTTGTATGTGTGCAAGTGGGTGTGTGTACACACACAAGACTGCAAATGAAATCTCAACGTGTCTTTGAGTTTGCATGTTTGCTGTGTTCATCAAGCTGTGACCTTAACAGTTCTCCCTTTAGAAGTTATACTTGAAAAAGATATTCATAAAACAGATCCACTTTGGCAAAAGAAGAAAAGAAAAACAACTGTTTTCACCAGAAGCAAGTGTCACAGCGTGGTGTAGATGCTGATTAGCACAGCCTGTTGAAATGATTTATAGTGTTTTCATAATGGAAAAATATGTCATCCAGGGAAACATGTCCTAAGCAAAAGGGAGAGAAAGAAGGGACAGAAAATTGAAATGACGGATTTCCCCTTGTCTTATAAAGAGTCAGAATGTCCCACAAGTCAAAGAGATAGCCATCTAGGGCAACCAGTTAAGGCCTGACTGGGACTGTGGAGTGTCAGCCTCACTGGGAGCAGATGCCATATAAATATTGCAAATTGAGTTTTTCTTTCTGCTTTCTTACAGGCCAGTCAAACCCTAGAATTTTACTCCTGCACTTCTGAAGAGATTGATCATGAAGATATCACAAAAGATAAAACCAGCACAGTGAAGGCCTGTTTACCACTGGAATTAATCACGGTATATTGTTATTGTTGTTAGTTACCATAAAGTTGGCTCGGACCATGGCAGTCCCATGAACAACAGAATGGACTGTTGCACAATCCTATCCCATCTTCACCATCTTCTGTATGCTCAAATTCATTGCTGCAGCCACCGTTTAAGTGGCTTCCAACCAAGGGGTCTCATCTTCTAGTATTATACTGGATACTTGTGTGATCCATAAGGTTTTCATTGACTAATCTTCTGAAGTAGATTTCCAGGACTTTATCCCCAATCTGGCTTTGTCTGGAGGCTCTGCTGCAACATGCCCATTATGGATGACTGGCTCTGTTGGCATGTCAAATAGAAGTGGCATAGCATCAGCGTCATGTTGTTGTTGTTAAGTGCCGTCGAGTCGTTTCCGACTCAGAGCGACTCTGTATTGGGTTTCCAAGTAGTGACTGGTGGGCCTGAATTGCCAACATTGTAGTTAGCAGTCCAGTGCTTATTCTACAGAGCCACTCCAGGATTCCACAGCAACCCACAAACCATCATGGTATCTCAAACTGACAGACTAGTGGTGGAACCACAGTATAGAAGCTGTTTTAACCCCAAAGAATGTAAAATTAAGAGCTGAATATAAAACTTTATCTTCTTCCAAGAATTTTCATGTGTCTGATGTCTATTATCATAGGACTTTTAACAGATCTCACTTCAGAAATTTGATTTGCAAAAGAAATTATGAAACAAAGAATCAGAAAAGTCTGTATTATCAACTGATATTATTGATACCTGACTTTTTTTCTCTAGAATGGGAGTTGTCTGACTTCCAGCGAGACCTCTTTCATAACCGTAAGTCAGAAAAATAAAGCGTCAAGCCCACACTATTGATGTAAAGGTTTCATTAATATCATTAACATTGAATTCCTTTTTCTTCTAGGATGGGAGTTGTCTGGCTTCCAAAAAGACATCTTTTATGATGGTAAGACTCAAAATTGTTTTCTTAATCACAACTGAGGGGAAAGTGCCAGCCTGTCTCAATGCTTCCTTCCTGCTGTTGTCGTGTTCCCAGACCCTGTGCCTCAGCAGTATCTATGAAGACCTGAAGATGTACCAAGTGGAGTTCAAGGCCATTAATGAAAAGCTTTTAATGGACCCCAAGAAGAAGATCTTTCTGGATCAAAACATGTTGGCAGCTATTGATAAACTAATGCAGGTAAGACCTCCCCTTCTATCACTGGAATTAATGAGAGAGTGTTCTATCAGTGAGAGGGTCCTTGAAGAGGCATAAAGTCAGTCCTTCCTGGATGGGAGAGAAGGCCTGAAATTGCCCCTGGCATAAACTGTTTGACTGCTATTCTAAAGATTAAGAGTTCAAACCCACCCAGCAGTACCTCGGAAGATAGTCCTGGAGATCTGCTGCCATTAAGATGACAGACATTAAGATTGCAGAGTAGAACAGCTTCCATAGGATTTGAAGGAGCACTTCTCTCATCTGTAACACACAGGGTAGTCTCAACAACTAGCCACAAATCACCTCTTTGTTTTTGTTGTTTTTGGTGAGGAGTAAGTGAAGGTATTGATCATTGTGCAAATATCAGGTCTTATATTTTGTAATCAAATAAAAGGTTAAAATTGGGAAAACCGTTGTCAGGTTTGTTTATCTGACTCAAATGAAATATATGTACTAAACAGATCTGTTACTGATAGAGATCCTGATCAATATCAGTCACCTTTCTGTTCTAAAAAAAACTTTGCTTCTTAATGTAACATACATAAAATTAATTAGGTATTGAGGCAGATGTCATCTTAACAGAATTGTTCTTTGTAAAATGCGACTCCCACTGATGGTTTTCTAAATAGCTTTAAGGGTCATTTCAGAGCTCACTGAAGATGCACGTGCTCGGATAATGAATATCTCTTCTCTCAGGTTCTGCCCGGCCATCTGGTTGGGAGTCGATGTGGGCTGGGTTTAGGAGCTGTAATGAGGGAGTGGGTTGTAGGCTCTGAGACAGGGATTGGCTTCACCAGTTTTAATGGATGAATGTTTTAATTTTAGAAGACCATGTATGTCATGCTTAATATTTATTCTCCTAGGCCCTGAATTTCAACAGTGAGACTATGACACAGAAACCCTCCTTTGAAGAGCCGGATTTTTATAAAACTAAAATCAAGCTTTGTATACTTCTTCATGCTTTCAGAATTCGTGCAGTGACTATTGATAGAATGATGAGCTACCTGAATTCTTCCTAAAGAGCTGAGATTTCCTCTGATCTCAAAGTAATTTTTATAGAAATCTGAACCAAAGATATTGTCACAGGATTTAGGATAGGAACTGGGGAGAGAGGGTGGTCTGACAGGGTCCTACTTAAGTTTGCACGACAGTCCTACCGCTTTTGTGCATTACATTAGTCACCACCCCAAATCTGAAGGATGCGACTATTATAGCTACATAATCCTTTTGTATTTCACATTTATGATGAACAAGTTCTTTTAACATTTTCATGAGCAAACTGCTAAGAAGGGAAATTCCCCACTGAATGTGTGTTCCTTTCCCTCTAATAGAAGAACAAGAATTTATAAGCTATTTCTGTACCAAAGTGTTTGTAAAAACAAACACTCAACCATAATTTATTTTTAAATATTTATTTATATAATTTATGTTCACGAAACCATGTGAACTAATTTATATTTATTTATGTTATATTTATTTAAATATTTATTATCAAATGAATTGGAAAAATATGCCTTATAAAATGTTATTCTAAAAATAAAAGTTAAAGTACGTCTCATATTTTCTAATGTAATTGGAATTCTTGAAGTGTTAAAATACACATTGAGGGGAAACTGTAAACTCTGATGAAATTTGAATACGATTACCGTGGAAAGGATGTCTCAGTGTTCTCGTACACTCCTAATTTCTTTAATCTCATATTCAGAAGGGAACCCAGAGAGGTTAATACTGAAGCAATCAAGTGAGTTACAGTTTTTGAGAGTATACATTAGGATTTTTAGTCAAAATCTGAGTGTAAAGTAAAATATATAGACTTTTTTCTTATTATCATAACCACATAACACACTGTGCATTAGACTAATACTTTATAACATTATTTATGTGTGGGAAATATCATTTAAAAAATCGTCTAGTTAAATTATTCTAATTTTTGTGACTCTTTGGGCTCTCAGGGGGGCAGCTGTTTCTAAATTACAACCAGAAAAACTCCATTTGCTTCTAATTATATAGAACTTTTGCTTGAACCATGCGGATGATTGTCTTGCCTCCATTTTACAGATGTGTTCATAATGCCCTAAATATCAAATCCATCTGTTTTATTCTCTAAACCATGTGAATTTTAAAGAGATTTACCTGACAGAATATCATGTAATTTTAGTACTTTTATCATCACAAACTTCCTTAACATGTCAAGGCTGTGAAAAATGAAAAATTTAGTGGTCCCCTTTCTTCATGCTAATCTCCCATGGACTCTCAATTCCTATCCCTGTGAAGGGGAGGGACATGAAAGAACACCCCAGGTCCTCATATCAAACCAAAAGGCTGTGTGACAAATATTCATTTTTCAGATTCTCACCCCATTTGATACACAATTAGAAAGAAATTATTTGAAGCTATATCCCATTATAAATCTCCTCTACTTTAGTAATTCCTCTGTGAGCTTGAATGATTGCAAGTGATGGACAGGCAGGAGTTTCTTGTCCTTTGGGGTGGAGTTATAGCGCATTGATTGTGGGGAAGAAAAGCCCATAGCTGGATGGGGCTGGGGCTGCTCTGAGCTGCTACCACCACTCATGTGACTGGATGTCTGGAAGGAAGATGCAGCGGACTTTCTCTTCTGTGGACTTGGTTTATCCAGAGAACAGATGTTACTTTGTGTCTTAGTTTCCTAGTGCTGCCGCAAGAGAAACACCACAAATGGGTAGCTTTAAAGAACAGAAATGTATTTTCTCACAGTTCCGAAGCTGGAAGTTCCAATTCATCATGTGGTTCTTACAGTAGGTCATTGTTTGTCTATGTCAGCTTCTGATGGCCGGCAAGCACTTAACCACTGTGTCACCAGGACTTAGTGAAGAAGGACTATTAGTGTTCTCTTTTTATAGATGAGGAAACTGTAGCAGAAGAACTCACATAGTAGATGTCACCATTTAAACCCAGGCACACAGCATATGCACACCGCATCTGTACCCTTCTGCCTCTCATAAAAAAGTCACATTAAGACAAAGGAAAGGAGCCCATGTAATGCTGCAAAATCAAGGCCTGGAAATCAGCTTTGGTAAAGATTACAGCCAAGCAAACATTATGGAGCACTTCTACTCTGAAATGCATGGAGTCACCATGAGTCAGGGACCGACTCAAAGGCAACCAACAAGACAAATGAACACTTCTGCCAAAATCATATAAACATTCCTGCAATTATTTATGTCCCCTGTCTTCCTCACTACACTGTGAGAACCTCAAGTATAGGGAGTGACGTACTATTTATGAGATCAAGTCAAAAAGTATTGCTACAAAATTATAGAACGCTTTATTAAACAAAATATCAAAAATATCCTCCATCAAGGTCTATAGACTCCTGAAGGCAGGTTTCCATCTCTCTAACCCGTCCCTGAAGAATTCTGCACTCATTGATTTATACCACATCAAAGTAGTAGTTTTTTGGCAACCTCTAGGGACTCAAGTCGTGTTCCTTTTCAATATCTTTAAGTTTGAGGAATAAAATGATGTCTGAAGGAGTCAGAGGGATAGGGTGGATGGGGTAAGGTTTCCCAATGAGAGAAATTCTCGTAGGACAGCCCTGGTTACCTACCCTCAAAGTAGGCACGTTGTCATGATGGGAAAAAAATTCCTCAGCACAACTGTCCTGGCCTTTTTCATACCAATACAATTTTCAATTTTCTTAAAACTTCTTCCTACTAAGCCCCTGTGATTATACTGTGTCCTTCAAGAAAATCTATCAAGATGATACCTTTGGAAGTCCAAAACAGTCACCGTAACCTTCTGAGCTGACCTGTCTGTCTGAATTTAACTAGCCCAGCAGATCCCCTCAGAAGCCACTGTTTTGATTGGACTCGGATTAATTTTTTTAAGACCCCCTAGCGAGACTAAGGAGCTCTGGTAGTGTAGTGGTTACGAATTGGGCTGCTGACCACAAGGTCAGCAGTTCGAAACTACCAGCTGTTCCGCGGGAAAAAAATGAGGCTTTCTGCTCCTGTAAAGATTTACAGCTTCAGAAACCCTGTACAGGGTCGCTATGAGTTGGAACCGACTCCACGGCACACAACCACCACAGCGAGACTAAGAGAACTGTCTTACTAGAGAACTTATCTGTAGCCATCCACTGATCACATAGACCTGTTTAAACAGCTTTTGTTTTTTAATAAATCTGTACACATATCAATAGGAACCCCAGTAGCAACATTTTTTCACTTACTCTCATATAGTATATGTTCCTGACCCCAGGCACTCAAAATTGAGAGGAAAAAAGAAAAATCCCAAGCCCCTACCATATGCTTATGTCTTGTTTTTCTAATTCAGAAATAAGGAAATCTAGCTTTTAAAAAGAAAAATATTCCAAATTACAAGAAAAAAATGCCCATGTTTGTTTGGTTCAAAATAATTAATTATACATGCTTGTAATGAAGGCGGGGATTCAAAAGTCACAAGCTTGCTAAATTTTTTAAAGTAATTTAAATTTGTGATTTTGGATTACATGGTTATTATCCTTCCGAGACATGCCGTACAAAAGAAAGCAGCATCCCAGTGGACTGGAATGTAGTTTGCTTTCTGGTTATGTTGTAGATATCTCAGAAACAAACTCTGAAAACAAAAGGTTTGAGACCCAAGCAATGATCACATCTCCTGTTTTCCACGATGACCATGCACAGGAGTGGGTTGCAGACCTAGCAGGGCTCTCACTGGGCTCCCTTCCCTCCCCTCAAGACCCCTCTGGGCAGCTCTGTCTGTTAAGATTAACCAATGCAGGTTCCAGATCAAACTTTGACAGATGCCTTCCATGGCTAAGGAAAAGTTCAAGCCCTACTACTCTAGTTCGAATCCCTTCCTACAATTAAGTTTTTATAAGTAACAAAACCATCTTTTCCATATTCAGATTTGTAAGCATGCATTTACTAACAGAAAGTTTGGAGGCTTGAAACCACAGAGATAAGTTTGTAAGACAAGCCTGGTAAAAGCCTTGAAAACCAATGGAACAATTTTACTCTTCACACATGGAGTTATCATGAGTCAAAATCAATCCAACAGCAACTAGCAACAACATAAATGTGCAGAGTGTATTCACTTTAAAATACTAAATTCATATCAGAGACTACAGCATACAGCAAGACTGAATTTCTGCAGCATAAAGATGGCGGCCTAACTCAAGGCTTTCTAACTAGTGATTTTACATCATGATCGGGACAAGTTCGATTGAAATCCATGAGAGAGTTTCAAGCTTGAGCTGAGGGTTGCAGCACAGAAGCAGGAAGAACCGAGGGCTCCTGTGCAGAACTCAACCCCTTGGTCTCCATTTAGTACCAGCAACTGCAGAGCTATCACTACACTCCTGAAGCCATGCTGTGTAGGCAGATAGACTGAAAACACGCAATTCTAGCAGTAAAATCACTGGTTACCCAGCAGGGATCAGGCCCTTCAGAAAGCAGTGCGCTATTTCACCCCAAGAAGAATTTCCAGTAAAGGGGAACAGACTGGGCCAATAGCTGAAAACCACCACCCTCAAGAGCTCACACTGAAAAATCGGCAAATATGATCAGTGGCTTCTTTAGAGAATACAGTGAAAAAAAAGCGCTTCCATATGAAATAATAGGGGAGGAAGCTTTTCTCCTAAAAGTATACAAAAGATAAATAAGTAAGTCCCTTGGGGTTAAGGAAAAATCTGCTAGAGATGCACAATTGAGGAACTAATCTGAATCCACACGGTTCTAAGTAAAAGTGTACCTGCCCATCACTTTGTTGTTGTTGTTAAGTGCCATCAAGTTGGTTCCAACCCATAACAACTCTGTAAAACGTGTCTGAGGAACGGCTGGTGAACTTGAATCACCGACCTTGTGGTTCAAGCTGACTTTGCAGTCCAGCTAAACTCGAAATCATACCTATAGTAAAAGGGTTAGGGAACCGTATGGATTCTCTTAATTTGTGCAAACATCTGGTTGACACTTAAATGGCCTCAGTCCAAGAACAAAAGACCTAGGATCAAAACCAATTAATGCCCAAAACAGCC